ATATATTATGTGTGTGTGTGTGGCTTTATATTTTGTGTATATTAGGCAAAGGCCCTCTCGAGTTTGCCTGGGTAGTAGATTGGCACCAATAACAAATCCAGTAAGTGCATTACATTTGTGATCTGTATACTGAAAAATAATTGTGAGCTTGTTTGCTATCTATGCTAAGCAAGGGCAGTGCCCGGCTTCTATGCCAAGGTAGTAGATTGGCACTTTGGGGAGATTGGAGGGGTTATAATAACTGCAACGAATTGGCAATATGTGCATTAAATATAATTTTAATGATTTACTGTGTATACTAAGTGAACAATGTCCCTAGTAGCACTGTGCATTAAAAAAAAAAAGAGTATTTTGTCAGGTAACTTGCTGTGTTTAGGAAGCAAAGACTGTGCCAGGCTTGTTAGGGTGGTAGATTGTGACTTTGGGGAGGTTGGTAGGTTACCATAAGTGCATTAAATTTGCGTTCTGTATACTGATAAATCATTTTGGGATTATTTTCTATGTATACCAACAAAGGCTGTGCCCACCTTCTGTGCCAGGATACTAGATTGGCACTTTGGGGAGGTTGGAAGGTCATAACTGCACTGAATTTGCAATGTGTGCATTTCAAATAATTGAAATTATTTTCTGTGTATATATAGCAAGTGAAGGATGTGCCTGGTAGCAGTTTGTGCATTGAATTTAAAAACAAAGTCAGTTTATTTGCTTTGTTTAGGAAGCAAAGGCTGTGCTAGATCTGCGAGGGTGATAGCAGACTGGCACGTACGTGGGACAAGGGGAGGGGTACAGGAAGAGTATTATTTCCAACATGTGCATTAAAAATGAAATTATTTTCAGTGTATACTAAGCTAAGACTTTGAGGGAAAGTAATTGTGTTTGCAATATGTATATAAATGTAAAGATTATATTGTTGAGTGGTTTGTCAGTTAATGTTAATGGCCAGTGCACTAACCAAGGACTGCTGCCATGTTGGATTGAGGGGGTGTAAAAAGAGAGAGATATTATATTGCTATGGGGCTGCAGCTAACGATTATTTTCATAACTTATTAGTTGCCTGATTTATTTATCTTTTCAACTAATTGATTGGTTGTATTAAAAAAATTCTCTCCCCCTTCCCCCACCAACTAATCGATGATAAGAATAGTTGCCAACTATTCTCATCGCTTTAATATCGATTTAGTCGATTAGTTGTTGCAGCCCTATATTGCTATGATAGTGAGAAACTTGTCATGTTGTGAACTCCGGGTTGTGTGCTTTTTATGGGAGTTGGTCAAATATTGTTTTATTTATAGTCTAATTTCATTTTAAAACGTGCAAATCAACCGTCTCAGACGCAATTCACCCTGCACAGCTCTGACTTCTGATTGGCTGCTAGGATTATTGCACTTTGCAATTACGTCCATTGAGAAGTGAGTTAAAGTTAATGTAAACCCAAACCGTGAACTTCTTATATGTGCTCCTTTTTCCTCTGTTAAGCTGCCCATACACCTTACGAATATCGGCCGACTTTCATATGCGATTGCGTTTTCATCCGATATTCGTAAGGTTGATGGGCAGTGTACAACCGCAAATACTGTACAATCGATTTTTCGCAAGGTTGGTGGCGTTTCCGTACGTCAAAATTTGTACGATTTACACTGCACATGCGCCGACGAAAATACGTGCGGTCGATTACCGCAGTTCGTACAGGTGCTTTCTTCTAATTGCCGCTGATCCAACCTTGCGATGATCGGGGCAGGATGGGGCCGGCGTACGAAAATCGTCGTCTGATGATCGCAAGGTGTATGGGCAGCTTTATTTATACCACTGAAACCATTTGTTATATCTGTATAATACGTGCAGCATATACCTGTTGATTTTTGCTAGAATTTCAGAGCTGCCCTGTGTCATCTCAAGGAGTCTAATTAGCCCTCCTAGTTCTTGTCTTGGACTACTAAATAATTACAGGGTTATTCACTAAAGGGTGAATAGTTTGGAGACGGCAGGAGAAGGGAACAATCTAGGACAACATAGCTGAACTGAAAAGTGAGCTGAATTGGATCATTTTTCCTAATCGGCTATTCTGTCCTAGATTGTTCCCTTCTCCTGCCTGCTCCACACCCTTTTGTGAATAACCCTGTTAGTGTCTATGTTGTGGAGAATAGGATAGGGGGAGCGTTTGAGTAGTCTTGCAAAATTTATAGCTGAGCAGGGCTGACACCACTTAGTCCACAAAAATGCTTTGTGTTATAAGCTGCAACAAGACTTAGGAGCTGAGTGCGTTTTTCTTGCAGATCAAAGAGTATTTCTCTTGTAGGGATTATACATGGGGGGAAATGTGCATGTGTTGCAGAGATGTACTGCATGTGACATACACTTTTTGACTGGCATGGACAATGCTTTGTAGGTTATCCAGGCAATAGATGGGTCCTCTTTAAGGGTCTAGGGTTGTAAATGTGAACATGCGTACATTTGAATTGATGATCACACTATAATGAGGGTCTGGGTGTATTATTAACCATGCGCCATGTAAACAATATCCCGGGACCGGCATGCTTTGTGCCTAGTTGTGACGAGTCCTTTCTATAAGGACACACAAATCTCAGTAAACATGATTTTTTAGGTTTTTGTTTTTAAATCTGTACTGTTATCTGTTAGAAAGTTTCTGTTTTCACTGTTTACAATATCACATTTGTTATTCCAATGGCTAGATCGTAGAGATTGATTAAAAATGGGAGACGGCCTAAATATACGATTTTATATTTGTTTTTCATTGGCTTTCATTTGAGCGCAGTTTTCTTTATCTGAGAATGACGTAGGCCCTTTTTTTGGATCCTAAGCGGGACCTGATGACCGTGTGACGTCATTGTTTAGGCATCGTCAAGGTCAGAAGTTGGTTATTTTAATTCTGTGCGATTGACATGCTGCAGTGATGGGTCATGTGTTTAATTCTGTGTGAACCGTCACAGGTGTCACACATTACAGATGTGGGCCGTGACTCGTAAACTCATCTAATGCCGGGATGGACAAATTTAATCTGGAATTCAGGAGGCAGTCTGTCCGATTCAGGAGCCAGCTGGATTTTTCTAGGAGTCGGCTCCATTGAGGCCAGCAACTAAAGAAGAACTCGGTTAGGTGCCAGCTCTAATTTAGCCCTCGTTCACATCTGAACGTTTTGTAGCACGTTCTACGCTCGACGAATGCTCTACAAAACGCTGAAAAATATAAATCCCATTGTATTCAATGGTCTCGTTCCCACCTTGGCGTATTTCCGCTCGTCCCTAACGCGCTACAAAACGGCCCACGCCTGAAAAGGTACATGTACTACTTTGGGCCGTTTTTGTTGCGCGTTTCCATTGGGATACAGCCAAGTAGCCTTCGGAAACGTGCGACCGTCGCGCAACTTTTTTACCGCGAATCGCCAGACGCGCATATGCAATACGCCTAGGTGTGAACGAGACCTTAGGGTCATTGGCTTACCTGTCTCTTGGGATTTGTCCAGCCTTGGTCTAATGTCAAGTTACCTTCATTCATAAAGTGTTGGCAGCCATGTAACCCTGTATCGAATCTGGACTGCTTTCAAATAGAAGGCGGTGATCTTCATGTCCTGCTGGTCATTGGTGGTGCTGTCCTGCTCGGAACCATTGCTGATTTCGCTGTTTGTATGGTGCCCCTGCTGAGCT